CCAAGAAAACTGTAAGGACTAGCCCAGACACTTACAAGGAATCAACACTCACCCAAAGGGATGGCAAAAAAAAGTTTTTGAGATGCATTTATATTTAAGTATAAGTGTGGTCTGAGTATCCTAGTATAGATGCAGAGGTGGGATTCACTTAACTTCCCTATTGGTTCACAAATGTGAACATGCTGGCATGCTTGCTTGCTTTGCTCTCATGCACTTCATATGCGCATGCGCGCTGCCTTCTGCACACCCAGAGTGCTCACACATTATGTTGAGGCATGCAGCCAGAGCCTCCCACAGCCACCGCTACCAGTTTGCCCGAACCAGAGAGAACATGCTGAATACCACCTCTGTGTAGATGGCAATAATGTGCTGGTAAATATTAAGAGCTGACTCTGCCAGCTTTGTTGCTGCCCCCAAGCTAGCTATGGAAGAGCTCTCGAGGCCACTAGGCATAATGGCTTAACTCTACTTTCAACAGGCTTTAAAAATTCCAGATAATATACTATTAGCTGCTTCAAGTCAGTGGGATCTGGCTCCAGCATACCGATGCGGATTTATCTGTACAGGTTCCTCTGGAATCAACTATAAACATCTGATTGACTTGCCAGCAGTTTGAAAGAAGTCTGGATTGAGGGGCAAATGTTTGGTGCTGTTGATCTTTTTATTGAAGATCTTCGATGTTGCCACAGAGGAAGGCATTCACTAGCACTGCTTCTCTAGCCAGGCTGAAATCCCAACCACTGTATGAAGCATTCTGTGCTCTGACATAGGAATATGGGCTTGTGCTCGTCAAACAGCAGCCCCTCACCCATCAATTTCCCATAGCAAGCTGAAGATACTTTCAAAAACAGATGGCAGTCTGCTGATCTAAGAAAAGGAAATGTTTTAAAAAAGCATGTCAAAATCCTTGGGCATATGTAAAGTTTAGTTTAGGAATTTCAGCTCCTGAATATTAAATGCATAATCCAAATCATGTAGTAGGGTTAAGTAGCAGTTTTATTCATTATGCACCATACTTCAAACGTTAATATGCATATTCTATGCACCAAACCCACAGTATTTTTGTTTAAAATTCACTATGTATATAATGTGTATGCAAATTCCAAATATGATAACATTCATTATGGTCTTCCTTCCCTCCTTTAAAAATTCTCAGAGGAAAAGCAAACGATCCACACAAATGCTGGATTATAGCCATTTGTACTGATTGGCATGACTGCAATTTCATTCATTTTTGTGGTTGAGAGGGATGAGACCAATATCAGGCCTCAGGTCTGTGCTCCCTTTTTAAAAGATCCATTCCCCTCCAGGTCAAATGTATTTTTCAGCCTTGTCTGTCAACTATGTTTTTAAAGTATTTAAGTTCAAAGATGAGGAAGGAAGCATTTGTCAATAACAATAATAAAACACTAAGACATCCGAGAATACATTGGCTGAGTCACATAACAGAAATGTTTAGAGTTATCATCTGGATATGCTTTCCATATTTTAATTAATAAAAATTGACCAAGGAATATAGAAGGAGGAGCTGCTGCATAAGGTACTTCCAGAATAGTTTAGATCAAACTGTAGGCTGAGAACCCAACTATACTGAAAAAAAAATCTCTTACAAAACGTGTGTGTGTATGTATGTGTGTGTGTGTGTGTGTATGTATGTATGTATGTATGTATACACACACACACACAAACACACACACACACACGTAGATCTTTGGTTATTTGGGTTTTCTCCCGCGTAAAATTGGAAGTGTCTTTGCGATGTTTCGATGAAGTCTCATTCGTCATCTTCAGGCTGGTTTACTCGGTTTCATGCTTCCAGGAGCAATGTGAGATCACAGCTGTTTCTTCCTTTTAACTGCCAGTGGGGGTGTGAGCTGATTGGGAGGGAGCTTGGCTGTGTTCCGATTGGGTGGAGGTATGTTCTGATTGGTACAAACACCTGCGAAAACCTCAGAAAACAACTTGTGGCTTAGTGGTTAACACAACTGCCTAATATGTAATACAGCACAGGTTCAAATCCCA